TACCCGGCTCTAGAGGGCAGGCTCATACACCCAGAACCCTTGCATCCTCTGTTCAGTTCTGTTTGGGCTTGGATTTTACTAAAAAACAATGGTTACAGTGTGAGTATTTTTTTGCGGGGGGAACATGGGAAAGAGGAGAGAACCAATAGCATGGTGACAAGCAACTCCCCTATCGGGAAGCCTGTTTTCATCCCACAGGGAAGTTCTAGGAAATGACGCAAACACCCATGTCGTCATTCTCTCTCCCAACAGGCAAGGGAGCTTTCCTGTGAGAGCCTAGACACGGGGAACTTCCCTCAGGCTCAGAGGTGGAGATGTTGGCAGCTGGAGTTTGACCAGAAGACATTGAAGCTGAAGGCTTGTGTGGCGGGTGTTGTCTGCTACAAGCCCTGCAAGGTGCTTAGAGAGCAGGGGATGCAGACCTGCTGCGGAAGGGAGGCCCTGGCCTTCCCACATGGAAGAGAGGACTCAGAGGAGTCTGAAAACTTCTTGGAGACAGGCAGAGCACAGAGATAGAGGAGAAATGGCTGGGCTGTGTTAGTCCAGGAATTGTTCTTTCTTACTGTGAGAAATTGGCAGGGGGCAGAGAGACCCAAGGTACCTTTCTAGATTGTTCCCTCCAGGAGAGAGGAACAGAGGTTTCCTATGTTCTGAGTCAGTGTGGGAACATGAGGGGAGGAAGAACAGGTACTAAGGAGGAAGACAGGGATGCGGAATTTAGAATCATTCCCTAAAAAATTATAGTAATTGTTAACACCAACAATAGAGAAGGAATAAGTGTGCAAACAACAAAGCTCCATCTTTTTGAAAGAGGTTTGCGGGGTGACTAGGTCTGAGGGCTTCCTGTGCACACTGGTCTTTTCCTTTGTTGAGTTCCTTCAGGACCAACTCTCTCAATCACTTTTCTCTCTGTTCTTCTCCTTCCAGTAATCAAAGCTTTATCCCCACAGTCATAAGCTCTAAACTGTCATGGGTTGCATCTGATGGGCAGGGAACAGGCCAGAGGAGGAGGCAGGGGAAGGAAGATCTGGTAGCAGATGTTTTCCTGGTGGTGAGGATAAGCCTGCGCTTGCTAAAGGGAGCAAAGAGATAAGTAGATGCCCCAGTGGATGGAAAGGAGGATGGTAGACTGGATCAAGCTATGGGTCATATGTTATGGACTTATGCTCTTTATCATTTAAAAATAAATAACCCCAGTATGTGTGTTTTTATCAATTAAAGTCTGGTCCATAAATCAGCAGAGAAGATAAACTGCTATGACAAAGTCACACAAAAACACAATGGCTCTGCTTTGGTCTGAATTCTTGTGTCCCCCCAAAATGCTTATATTGAAACAGAATGCCCAAATGTGATAACAGTGAGAGGCAGCCCCTTTAAGAGGCGATTGAATCAGAAGGGTGGAACCCTCATCAATGTGATTAGTGCCTTTATCAAAGAGGGCCATGGGAACTCTTGTCCCTTCCATCATGTGAGGACTCAGCAAAAAGGCACTGCTATGAGGAAACAGGCCCTCACCAACACTGGGCCTGCTGGCTCCTGGATCTTGGACTACTCAACCTCTATAATTGTGAGAAATAAATTTCTCTAGCTTACAATTTATAGTATTTTGTTATAGTAGTGCAGAGGGACTAAGATAGGATCAGACAAGATAAAAGTTTCTTTCTTTTCATCTAATAGTGTACAGGCAGGTGGGCAGTTCAGGATGGGGCAGGTAGCTGTGTCCAGGGTCCCAGGTTTCTTCTACTCTGCACTTCACTGTTCTTGGTGTGTGATCCTGTCCTTGCTGTCAAAGCCGCTCATGCCATTACTTTGCTGTTTAAAGAAAGGAGGGAAGGAAGAAGTGGAAGGCTATCAACTTCCTTTGAAGAATGTGATGGGGAAGTTGAACATGTCACTCCTGCTCACATATCACTGGTCAGAATCTAGTCATCTGACCAGACTTAATTATAATGCAGCCTAGGAACTATGTTCTCCATCTAGATACCCACATGTCCTTTCAAAACTGTGGTGGGCTAAGGTTTTATTACTAAAATAAGAGAAATAGAAGAGTAAAACTTGGCAACAAATAGAAAAAACATGGTGAAATAGTTTTATTTTGAACTAATGTTGTGAAAGTTCCATGTTCTATATTAAAATATAATGTACATGTTATGCTGGGGGCAGTGGCATGCTTGGTAATGCCAGTTACTTGTAAGGCTGAAGCAGGAGGATTGCAAGTTCAAGGCCAGTCTCAGTGAGATCCTGTCTCAAAATACAAATGGCTGGGGGTGTGGCTCAGTGGTAAAACACATCTGGGTGCAATCCCTTGTACCAAAAAACAAACAAACAAACCCCCAAATGTTATTATATCATGAAATTCTTCTCATTATACTTACTTTAAGGTTTGTTTACTATGATATACTAAAGGGAAGCTTATTTTTTAAATGAATTTGTGAGTATTGGGTTTATTTTACTTTAGCCTGATGAAAACAGTCAATTTTTTAACCAATGCTCTACATATTTTACTGTAAATTCTTACAGTCTTTCCTTATTTTTACTTCCATGTGTTTTAAAATTTGCCTTTGTCTTCCATTAGTTTCCATTTTGTCATCTAGTATTGATTTGAACATAGTACAGCTCAGAGCAAGCAAACCTTTTAATATCTTGCAAAATGAAACATAAATAATGGTCTGGAACTCTTGTAAACATAATATTTTTGGATCATAGTCTCCACCAATCAGTAGTGAAAGAAACCATGGCTTTCTGGCAGTCATTCTTTTTTTTTTTTTGGCAGGGGTGGGGAGTGGGTACCAGGGATTGAACTCAAGGGCAACTCGAACTGAGCCACATCCCTAGCCCTATTCTGTAGTTTATTAGAGACAGGGTCTCACTGAGTTGCTAAGTGCCTCTCTAAATTGCGGAGGCTGGTTTTGAACTCGTGATCCTCCTGCTTCCGCCTCCTGGGATTACAGGTGTGCGCCACCACACCCGGCCTCATTCTTCATTTTAATAGGGAATAAATTCACTCTAACAGTATAGAGAAGAGTGGGAAATTGTAGGTTCAAGAAGAGCTGGCTTGAGAAATACTCTTTATACAGAATTAGCATATAAGAAGTTTCAATAATTAGGGAACATCTCCCCAAATTTTACTGTCCTTGTAAAATATCCTGGGGAACTCAGAAAACTTACAGAGCCTAGTCACGTTTGGAAAACATTGATGGAGAGTTATTTTTTGTGAAAATGGTGATGGAGAGAATTTTTTTTTATTCAACTGTTTCTTTTGCATTTGCCCAGTGGTAATATATTGGGATATTCTGGAACCCCCTAGAGGACACCAGAGTGTTACAGAAGCAATATATGGTATCTGCCCATGATTTATATAAAAAATTCATTTCCTAATTGTTAGGTAATGCTATATCACTTTTCTTCTTTCAAAAAAGAATTCTACTCTTCATGTTAATTCCAAGTATGCTTCTTCCTATTAAATCATTTGACATTAAATTCATTTAATTTAAATTAAATTCTCTTCTTCCCAAGCTTTTTAGACTGCAATTAATCTTAGTAATTTCTTTAATCAATATGATTCTTTTGACATGTAGAAGCCATCACTAGTTACCTTTCCCACTTTTAGCTTTAATAAAACTTACTTGTTTTAAATTCTTCTACTTTAATCTAAAATTGACTGATTTTTCCCAAAAGGTCAGGGTATTTGATGCAAATTATAATGTCTGGAAATATCTTTTATTTATTGGAACACTCAGAGAGTTGGGAAATTGTTTATTAAATTTTTATTTTCTGACAACTGATAATTGAGAAGTTTATTTTCAAAGCCAGCCTCTTCCATCATTGCATAAGTTGATTACATTTATATAATCTACATAAATTTAAATCTACTTCTGTTGCTTGTAAGATAGTTTGATTATAGCATGCATTTGAGACAGTAGATTTAATTTTTTAAAAGTTAACCTGGAGCCTTTAAATGTATGTTTTAAAATTAGAATTCAAATTATTGTGTCAGTTTTCCTATTAAAGTGGAAGTAAGCTAGTGTAAATTTAATTCATTCACCTAAATGGAGTGAGAGTGGTCAATTTTACTTCTCCAAAATCCTCTGCTGATTTTTACTAATTTTAAGTAGTAGAAACACTGAAGTTTGTTATTGTATTTTTTTTCCCCTAAATAAAATCAACCAACAGCTCTATTCCAAATCCTTTGGTTTTTCTGGGTAAGTGGAGAGCTGAGTTATATAGTGATGAAAGTAGAAAACGTGTCCATTTTGTTGGACTAGACTGTGGTGTGGGTGATACATGCAGATGAGAAGTAAACAAAGTCGAGTTTAATGTTCAATTAAAGGGTGCAGAAATAAGCAGCTTAAAAGGTTGTGATTTAATCAGGGTGCTTCCTTCACAAAATATATTTTAAGATATTGGGTAGTCTTTAGAAAAGGCATGAACTTTCTCATGTGCATATACATGACCCTCTCTACAAAAAAGTAGTTTGTTTCTAGATTTCAGTGGCTGTACTTTTGACAGGCTCTTTCTAGAAATACATATTTGTCCTATAACTAGTTTACATTTTTCAAACAGCACCTTAGGTAGGATTCACATAATAAGAGTTCAAGGAACTTGGGTTTTCCTTAACGTTTGAGTTGCTTTACAAGCTCCTTTTGAAAACGGAAAAGTGGAAGTAATGATTTTTGGCTGTGTGGAATGTTATTAAACTGTCTGCACCCCCCCACCCCCCATGCATTTTCTAAGGTTTACTCATTATAATTGTTAATTTTCTTTTTCCAAATCCGCTTTTAACAGAAAGCTGTTAGACTGGCTTCAGGAGCCAGCAGCAGGCCGGCTGGAGCCTAGCGGGGGAGGGAGAGGGTCGTGTAGGGGCTGGGGCCGGGGCTGGGACCTGGGCGGGCGGGTGGGAAGCCTTCAGGAGGGGCCCAGGCAGAGACTGCAGTGACAGTGCCCTCCCCGGGCTGGTTGAAGCACCTCACTGGTGACGGGTCTGAGAGCACGTGGCTACGTCATGGAAAGCCAGTCTTTTCAATGCAAACTTCAACTCCTCCTCCTCCCTCTAATGCCTGTAACTCACATCCGAGGCTGGGCGAGGAATCCGGAGGGGAGATTTTCCTCATGCTCACGGTGGTTGGAAACTGGAAGAGTGAGAGGAAGGAGGAAGGGGATTTGTGGAGCTCTCTACCTACTACGAGACTGACCAGGGGAGGGGGCACCTAGATTTGCATCTTTTCTTCCTGGTGATTGAGAACTGCAGGTTCAACCCGATCCCACTGAGCACTGGCGATTGATTATTAAAAAGAAAAAGAAAGAAAGAAAGAAAAAGAAAAAAAAATCGACACTGGGAGAAGGGAAGCTCTGTCTTCGGCTGCCAGACTCAGTCCCGGAGGTGGTATTGGTGTGTGAGTGTGTGTGGTGGTGGTTTTTTTTTTTTTTTTTTTCTCTTCTTTCCTTTTTTTTTTCTTTTTCCTTTTCCTTCCTTCCTTCCTTTCTTTCCTTTTTTTCCCTTCTCTCCTAGGGGCTACACAATGGCAGTCTTCTCTCAGTAAGATGAATCCTGCTTTGCCTTCTGCAGATCCACCCATCCTCATAACGATCAAGTAAAAGGCTATGGTTTTCTCTTCGGGGATCTTTTGTGCATTACTGCTCTCCCTGATTAGTTTTGGTCTCAGTTGGGATTTCTTTGCCTTTTTGTTTGACTTCATGCTGAAAAAGGATTTTTTTCCCAACCTTTTGGTAATAATCCAGTGGTGATCGAGGGGGGATAAATCATTCACCCTGGCCGAGAAAAAACAATCACTGAGAAGTCTCAAAGAAATATACCACGTGAGGGGAAAAAACTGGGAGAAGATCCGGAATATTATCGTTTTTCCTATGGTAAAACCGGTGCCCCTCTTCAGGAGAACTGATTTCAAATTATTATTATGCAACCACAAGGATCTCTTGTTTCTCAGGGTGTCTAAGCTGCTGGATTGCTTTTCGCCCAAATCAATGTGGTTTCTTTGGAACATTTTCAGCAAAGGAACGCATATGCTGCAGTGTCTTTGTGGCAAGAGTCTTAAGAAAAACAAGAACCCAACTGGTAAGCAAAACATGCATCATGTTATGTTTTTCCTCATAATAACCTGTCTGTTGCTCATCGAGCTAGATCTGCAGTTCTGCTATGCAGGAAGGCAGGGAAACATACAAGGAACCAGGACAGTGTTGCATATAGAGGTGCTGCATGAATAAACAAGTAGCAGCTGGATCCGCGTCTGCGAACCCGAAAACCATTATCAGCATCTCTTGGCTGTGACACGATCCATCACTAGGAGGGCGGAGGAAACTTCTTTTTTTTCCTAAATGTATTTGGTTGCCTATGCTTGGTGGAATATTGAAGGGTGCTACGGTTTAAGGTTGTGCCCAAGGCAGCCGAAGCTTCGGTAGTTGGCAGGAGCTAAAGCGACGAGCTCTCCCGTACTTCTGCTGCAGGTTCGGGGACGTAGCACTAGACTTTCTGATTAGCTTGCACAATATTCGCCACCTCGATCACCTTTACCAAAGTAAGAGAGGCCCCCTCCCTCGCGGCCCCGCTCCTCCGTCAGCCCCCGCCTCCCTCCCCCGTCTAGCTCTCGGTGCCCGAGTATTAACTCATTCCCTCTGTCTGCCTCTGACACATCCTGCCACTGGGAATACTTGAGCAGGGTTTATGCCTGAAGGGAACCCCGGGCAGAGAAGACAAACCCAGCCCCTCTCGTATATGTCATTTAAATCCCCTCTTCAGAAAGCACTGTCAAACCCTGCGTCTGAGTCCCACCGGGGGATGAGTGGGGCAGAGAGTCCCTGCTTTAAGTCTCCTGGTGATCATGCGCTGGGATTCTAAAGGGCTCCAACAAGGAAACTTGCAGTACATTACATAAGAAATGCAAATGCAGGTGATTTGGGGAGCCGGCGAGGGGTTCACTTCCCCTCCTCTCTGTCTGAAGCGTTTGGGGGCGGCCGAGTTGTGGGCGAGCAACTCGGGGGTGGCCAGGCCGGCGGGCTGCATGGTGGCGGCCACCACGGGCGAGGAGGCTGCGTGCGCCTTTCCCGGAACAGCGCCTGCTTGCAGCCAGGGGCTAGGGGAGTCCCCCGACTGAGTTTAGGATGGGGAGGGACCGGCCCTGTGTTTGTGTCTGGAGCTGTGTGGGGAGGAGGGGGCGGGACCGGCTGTCCTGCAGTGGCAGCCCGGCGCTCAATGCTCTGGAAGCTGGCACTGCGGTGCAGTAGATCATGGATCTCTGTGGCCACCCTGACACCCCGAGCTCAGCCAGGGGCCGCGTTGGTACCCGGAACCCACTCTGCTGGGCAGCAAGTGGCTGCCCGCTCCCAGCCTCTGAACTTTGCTAACGCAGCTAGTTGGGGTGGTGCGCTCTGAGGGGGCTGCCGCCTGAGGGTGCAGAGGGAGCAGAGGAGGAGAACAAGGTGTGGGTGGGCGGGGAGGGAGGCAGTGGGCGTGGAGGCTGAGCACCCTTTAAGCACCACTTATGCAGCAAGAGGGAAACAGAATTTTTAGTCTGTCCTAGAGGGCCGCTGCTCACTGATGCTCAAGTACTCAGGCGGAGGAGGTTGCCCCCAGCTGGGGTGCTGAGATGGCAGTGGAGATTTTGAGAGTTGCCTTTGCCTGCCAGGCGCGCTCCGTGGTGCAGCAGACTATCTCTGTCCTGGAACCCTGGTCCTTGTGCTCCAGCTCTATCCCTGGTCTAACCATCCTCCCACCCCCACCCTTATACCCTTCTTTGGCCTAACTTCTCAGCCTTTAGCAGCCCTGTAATAGTATTGCCCCCCTGAGAATTGCCCAGGGGAAAAGCAGTATTCACCTTTCCATGTGCATTGCTATTTCAGCTAGGAGGTGTCCCCCAACCTCCAGCATCCCAGGGACACTTGCTGAGGCTTGCTTCCAGCAAAACCAACCCACATCTGCAACACCATTTCACAGGACTTCCCAAAGTGGGGCAGGTCCAGGGCTGCAGTTGGGAGGGGAGGGGCTCCCGCTTCACACCTTAAGGATCCTGGTTTTCTGAAGCCCTCTCATGTCCTCCTGTGAAAAGATTTAGCTGTCTTCCCAGAAAGGACTACTTTTGTAAAAGCATTATTGTTTAGATTTGGCCATTTGTCTAGGGACCTTGAAGTTAGTCCTTCCATAGTACCTGAGAGTGGGAAATAATTCCCCAAGAGCAGTGTATCTTTGCAGGCCTTTCTGTTTCTTTTATACATGATTTTACTGAAAACACTAATTTCCCCCTAAACACCATTCAAAACATTTTTATTACACTCCCCTCACCCCACCCACTTTCATCTCTCTGGAATAACCCCACCCCCTTTCTCAGGCTTTTTGGAAAGTGTTAAACAAATGACAGTTTATTTTTAGAGCAATTTAATTGGCAGCTTATGAATACTAAAGTACTTGTGTATGAAGTGCCGGGTTAACTCAGGATGTGCCTTACAACACAACCAATCAGGGAGTTTAATCTTAGATTGCCAGTGATTTGAGTTCCGACATGGGGGGTTGCAGCATTTAGTAGATTTTTTAAAACTGGGACATTATTATGTCACACTATCTCACCTTCTAAAAGTTTTTCTTTTAAGCTTGAATCAAACTCATGACTAGCCATCCTCTTTTAGTATTGCACTTGGCAAGTTCCATTCTCCTTCTGCTATTAACATGAGGACTAAAATCGTTTGCAGGTTTTTGATCCCAAGATAGCAGTACAACTAAGAAGTTAATTGGGTAATTAGAATAAAACAAAGACTAAAATCCTTTTAACTGTTAAAACCAAAAAGAACAGATTGACTACTACCTATTATGTTATCTTAAATCTAAAAAGAGGACAATTAACTGGTTTCAAACTAAGACGCTTGGCAGAGTACTGCAAGTACCAGTAAATTTGGTGTAAATCACCTCTTCTTATTTCAGAGATAAATATTAATTTTTCTTCCCAGTCTCCGCAAATTATGCAGCGTGGGGTAGTTTGGTCAAAAATTCCTAGGAGGAATTTCAGAGCACTGCTATATAATCAAGTTGATGTGAAAATAAGGAGATAATAAAGGTGTGAATTTAAGGATGAAGTTATTCACCTTCCCAAAAGTTATTATTAGCTTCATAGTGCTTACAGTTGTTAATAGTTGTTTTTATGTAAAATTTAACTGGAAAAGAACATGCAAAATGTATTTGTGTTACATATACTTAATGTAAATTGCAATAGTTTAAAATCTTGGATATAAATTTGCTATCATCCTAAAAATACCCAGTATGGCACAGTTCAACTATTATTAGAGAATGAACACCCCTCCACACACACACACTTAAATGTCCTATTTTTCCCCACTTTGAGTAGAGCAATAGCCATGCATTTAGAATAAATGTTACCTGCTGCAACTTTAACTGTATGAGTCATGCAAGGTGACTGTATTTTGGGCAAATCATTGGACAGGAAATACTAAGTCTAAGTCATTTATATTGCCTGGAGGAGACTTGATATATTTCTTTGAACCAGTATGATAGTTTGTACTGACCAGTGTGTATAACAGGCCAGTCTGGAAAATAATCTAGGTCACTAATCTTGAAGCAAAGCGTGAGAAGAATGTGCTTGAAAGAATAAAGTCCAGGGCTGGGGATGTGGCTCAAGCGGTAGTGCGCTCGCCTGGCATGCGTGCGGCCCGGGTTCGATCCTCAGCACCACATACCAACAAAGATGTTGTGTCCGCCGGAAACTAAAAAATAAATATTAAAATTCTCTTAAAAAAAGAATAAAGTCCACAATAAAGATAAATAGTAAAGTAATATCATTGCCATCTGTTCAGACACATAGTTAAAAAAAAAAAAAGCAAAGAAAGCAATGGCCTCTCAAATGTACACATCTGGTAAGCGACCACAGGACATCCTCAAGCCCCTGTTACTTGCTAGGATTTTGGGCATGGGTCAGTGGCAAAGAGCATAGGCGTGAAGAGGATGTCCTAGACCTAGTTTTGCTAAGTACTTCAGAACATCCCACAAACTCGTGGCTCAGAGTGTTTCTTTTTCTGAGCTTAGTCTCTTTCTCTGCCATGTAACTGCAATGGAACCATCAGGACTTGGTAGTACCAATCAGCACTTTCTATTTCCTGTTGTTTTTAGCTTTCAGCTCTGCTTTTGTCTTTCACTAAGCTGTTTCAGGCACCAAAGGTACCCAAGACACTTGGTAGGTCACTATTATTCACTTAGATATACACTGTATTTTTAAAGCTACTTGCTTTACATCTATTGCTGTCATGGAATTTTAAAGTAAGAAAATATGGGGAGAGGGAAGTAAAAGAGTAAGCACTTTTTACTCAGCTTGCAGACTCATTCTGGGTTTTGTAGAGTAGGGTGAACCACAAATGGGATACAGCTTCTGAATTTCTACACACTAAATATGTGGCAAACCAAGATGTAAAATTCAGACTGCATTCTAGAAGACCAAACAGGTCGAAGGTTCTTCTTCTAACATGTTTGGCTTTGGGAGTGGGGTTCCATGTACGAGGAGTTGTCCCTTAGACTCCATCCAGGAAGCTTTAGTTACTGAGGGAGCAAAATGAGTTGCGCAGAATTGTGCCACTTTGAAACCCAAAAAATGGCATTCAGATAGGTTTCTGAATACTGACTTATTGGTAGAGTGGATTTTTCTTTTTTGAAATTTCTATATAAGTTAACAAATATAAAATTCAATGCTTAATAATCTAAACTTAGTTTTAATAATAAAGATGACTTTGGCTGTACCCACATACAGCCTGTTCTTCTCTTAGCATCCTTGACTGAGAAAATTCGTTCAAATGAAGCATTACTTTCAGAAGGTGCTGAAGCTAATCCTATACTATACGTCACATTTCCCACACTGAACCACTTTTTAAAAATGTTCGAACCCAGTCTTCCACGTTTTAGTAACACAAGCACTAGAGACTTTTGTGAAATGTTCTTATATTAAGGTAACAAGGACAACAACCAATGTTTTCACTCCTTTGCACATTTTGGCATCATACCTCACTCAAATTGACTCATGAGTTTTCTATAAATACTGTGTAGATGTCTCAAAATGGAAGCATTTA